TATCTATCTATCTGTCTGTCTGTCTGTCTGTCTGTCTGTCTGTCTGTCTGTCTGTCTGCCTGTCTGTCTGTCTGTTTGTCTGTCTGTACTGGCATGAGCCAGACCAGGACAGCAATAAAAGTAAAGGATACAATAGCATGGTACAGTAGTTGTTTGGTTGTTTTTTTGTTTTTCGCTAAGAGCATCCGAAGAGTAGAGGAATGAGAGAAGCGAACCATTATCGCCGATGTGTGTTTCAGATGTCGTGTTACTTGAAATAGGAGAAGACAAATCACTGAAGGGTCTGCTCTGAAATCATCACTCACAACTACACAGAATGCAGCAACCAGCAAAAGTCACGTTCCTGATCGGGCTGACGTTGCAAATCCTGCAGTGTGTCTGTAAGTAACTCCTTTTTGTTTTGTAAGTTTTTGTCTTATTTCTATGTTTTCTGAATCATTTGTGAGGCAGCGTGGTGAAATCAGGCGCTCGTCAAAATAAGCAAAGTGAAAGAAACTGGCACTTTTCCTCAAGTTTGTGAATTTTTATCGATTTTTGTGTTTTTGTTTTTTGGCTCAACACCTTTCATGCCCATTTAAGAACACATTTCTGTGCGAATTTTACTCTTAAGCAAGCCTCCTTGAGTAAAGGCACAAAAATATAAATTTTCAGTTTCCTCAGACTTTCCAGCTAAGAAAATAACTTAACTTTTTCGGTCGTTTTCTCGCCAAATTTACTTCTGAAACCAGGTGCCCCCCCCCCCCCCATGACCTCCTTCATTCGCAAACATCTCGACTTGTTTTCAAGATGAACGGATATTTTTTTTTCATCCAAAGCGAAACAAATGAATAAGCTTTAAGATTATGCCCATACATGACCAAACATTGACAAGAGCCTGATTCCACCACACCGTGAAACACTCAAGACTTGTGAAGCAACTTGTTTCGTTTCATTTCTTACTTCTCTTGTTTAATTGTGGTATTTTTTTGAGTTCTTGTTAACAGTGTTTTGTTTTTTTTATCGTTTTGTTTTCTTGAATCGTTTTTGTTTTTGTTATATAGCGTCATGTTTTTGCTCAGCTGTTTTTCCTTGTTCGTTTATTGTGTTGTTATGTAGTGTCTTGTTTCCTTTCGTTTTTTTTCCTGGGTCCTGTTAAGTTTGTGAGATCAGATTTATATCGTTTTGTTTCGTGGCCCCTTTTTTATAAGGTTACTTACTTTCCTGTGCGTGTTCTTTTTTTTGTCGTGGCCATTTTTTGGTTACTGTTACTGTTACTTCTTTTTAGCTCGTAACCCCCCCCCTCCCCCCCCCCTCGCCTCATCTCGCTAGCAGACGTGTGTCTTGAGTCTCAGGTCCCAGCCCTGTCCTCCACTCCGCCGCCACACGAGAGCGCGCACAGGTGGCTGGATAGCCAGGTGAGGTCGCTTCAAGTTTCAACTCAGCCGAGACGGCCACAATCTGGGAAACAGACAGATACGACAGAGGGGGAGTAGGTGGAAAGATAGGACCTACCAGCGGCACCCTACAATAGGACCTACCAGTGACAGAGGGAGAGTAAGGAGAGAGGACCTACCACTATCGCTCTCCCAACCACCCACAGACAGAATCGACAGAGGGAGATCAAAGAGGTAAGACCTACCAGTGGCGCCGTCCTAACCACCCACAGACAGAAGCTACAGAGGGAGAGTAGAGAGAAGGACTGGTACCAGCAGCGCCCTTCTCTATAGGACCTACCAGCTGTGACTTCCCAACAAACACAGACAGAATCGACAGAGGAAGACTAAAGAGGTAAGACCTACCAGCGGCACCCTCCAACCACCTGCGTCATCATCATAGTTGGAAAGTAGAAGGTGGTTGGAAATGTACTGAAGTGAAAACCTTTAATTAAACTTTTCTGTCGTCTTTGAGTAGAGAGAATAACATCGACACGACAGTGGTCAATTTGTGCTGACAGAAAGAAAGATAGATAGAGAGAAACAGCAAAAAGAAAAAAAAAGAAGTTCGACCAGCCATGTTGCAGTGACACGCTCCAACCACCAACACAGAGACAGCAGCGGGAAAGAGAAGAAATTTGATATCAGTGGTGCCCTCAAACCTCCTAACTTCGCAGACAGAAACAACAGCGGGAAAGAGAGGGGATTTGATATTGTACTAGAAAAAAGAAGCGCCTTCCACCCACCTAACTACACAGACGGAGACAACAGAGGGAAAAAACCTTTTGTTATACCAGTAACACGCTCCAACGCCCACATTAATTAAGAAGAAACAACAGAGAGAAAGAGACGTTTGACTTACCAGCTGTGTCTTTTTACAAGTTTTTCAGACTGAGGAGAGTGAGATTTGTGTGAAAGAACAAACATGTGAATTGGAGACTTTTTCCATCTGACGTTTATTCTGGATTGTAAGAATTCGTGCTGGAATAATTCCAGTTTTGGAT